AGCATTCCTTTGGAATTTAAGTTTAAATACGACTTCTTTGCAAGGTGCATCAAAGCCAAAAGGGAAAAAACACTGTTTCCTTGGAAAATATTTTTTTCAAAGAACTGCATTAATTTTAATATCATACCAAATAATATTTAATGAATGTTTTGTTAACTCAGAAAGGGCAAGACCTGTCCTGGCTTATGATTGATTATGTATATCAAATTAGTGTTGACTTTTTAGTGACTTAGTGATCTCGCCGCAATCTGGCCTCTTCAGGTTGCCCAACTTTACATCCATCACTGTTGTAATTAACTCCAGCCAACTTACTACTGGTTGTCCTCTTTCCTCCTGGTATTGGACTATGCCCTTGAACAAACATACTGTATTGTGGCAAAATAAATGAAAATTAATTATTTTTCTCTAGAAAACTAATTCCTTTTTAAAAAAGGGAATACTTTATTTTTTACTTTTATATTTTTATTGAAGCGTTGATACACTTTATCAGCCTTTTAAAAAAAGGGAGACCTGTTTTTCATTTACTCTTTCCTTCCTTCCTTCCTTCCTTCCTTCCTTCCTTCCTTCCTTTCTTTTTGATAACATTTACATTGGAAAATAGAACAGATAATTTGGTTTCCCAAGTATTTGAAACTAGTGTGATAAGACCAGTTTTGTACATGGAATGGGTTTTATCTTTTCTCTCAGTTTATTATCTTGAACCAAAGTCTCCATAGCTCCCTAGTATTTCAGTATTAAGATAGGCTATTGTGTACACTTTTTAAATCACTATTTACAAATAACCAGAAGAGGATAGTACTAGTCATGGAGAATAATATCAGTTTCCTGTTTATTCAACAATTCTATTTCAATCAACAATCTTTATTTTAACAGTGTTACAAATGCATATATCTCCACATTTGTTCTACATATTAGTGTTGCTAGTTGTGGAAAACATATTTTGTTCTACTGCACATTTATATTACGTCACATTATGGGCAAGATAATTTACTGTTATTATTGGGAACTTTGAGCTGATTACAGTTCATTTTATCATTTTCAGTAGCTGGTCTTCAACTAAGCAATGTCCTTATTTCTAAGCCAATAGGTATTGGAGCCCAGAATGTCTGTTGCCTCCTTGCTTTAATTTTGTTCCTTTATATCTAGAACCTTTTGTCTTATTTGTAGGTACATTATGACTTTGGTCTGAGAAATATATTGTCAGTATTACGGACCTTGGGGGCAGCCAAAAGATCAAACCCCAGTGACACCGAATCCACGATCGTCATGCGTGTCTTGAGAGATATGAATCTTTCTAAATTGGTAAGCATGAATTTAGATATTTGCTCTTTTGGGTTCATTTGGATGGTATTCTTTGGTTGCCGTTCAAATATTGATTTAGGATGCTCTTTTGCCTTTTCTGAGGCTGGCTTCTGACTCAGGTATCTATAATATTAATTAGGTGTCAGAAATCTGTAAGCAAAACTAGAAGCTTATTTAGACCATTAGAGTGACAAGGGGAGAATAAGCAAATATATTCAATCACAGATTTTTAAGCCTAGATCCCAAAATCAGCAGAAATCTGAGGTGGCGCAGTGGTTAGGGTGCAGTACTGCAGGCCACTTCAGCTGACTGCTAAGCTGCAGTTCGGCGGTTCTAATCTCACCGGCTCAAGGTTG